CTGACCACTGACCACTGACCCTGGACCTTGGACCTCACTGAGTTTCCATGCCAGGCGATTATTCATTATTATATTTCTCAATCTTCGGGGATCATATCCCCCGATGTGCATCCTGTCATGATGTCCTTGGATCCTCGGATGTCGTTATCTCACGTCCTTCTCTGAGTAATCCTCCATGGTCCATGTGCTCTTGATGTGACTCCGAGAGATTTTTCTCGGAGTCTCCTCTTCTTTCTGTCAGTCCTCGGTCCCAGAAATCATCAGTGTAGTTAGTTTATGTTTATTGGCTTCAGGTGCTATCCCTCTGGTTTGTGTTTCGATAAGGAAGGGGAGTGTGAGCTCCCCCCGAGACTCACGCTAATTTTTAATTTATCAATATTCTAAGAATCTATACCCGGTGACATTGTAATCGTCACACACGGTTTAAAATTTTATGAAATCATTCCTATTTGCAACGTAAGGAACAGATACGAAGTACCTTTTTTTGTTTTTGTTTTCTTCAATCGAAATTTGAACCCATCGAGTAGATTAATAATAATTTGCAAATCGTCAAATCTGCTGCCTATTCACTTTCCATTAGCTTCTCTCAACGAATCGCCATAACAGCCTTCCCAACATCACAAGCTTTTATGACAACTCGATATGGAAATATGACAATAATTATAGTAATTACTCAAGAATGGGATTCCAAATAAACATGTCTAATAATGGTAGAGTTCATAGCATTTATTCAATTCAATTCAATTCAATTTATTTCCTTGATGTTACAAAAGGTTTTCTTTGTTTTACATCTCCACAAGCCTCCTCCTCCTCTATTTTACTAAACATTTTATNATTCAATTTATTTCCTTGATGTTACAAAAGTTTTTCTTTGTTTTACATCTCCACAAGCCTCCTCCTCCTCTATTTTACTAAACATTTTATTAACATAGTGCTGTGCACATAACCAACATATACTATAATATAATATATTTTTCTTTATTTTTAACCTTTCCCTTCTTATTTACACCCCATTCCCCCTTTCCCCACTCCTCCTCCATCCTTTTCTGGTTCTTCTCCAGCCTTCTGCTTCCCTCCCTCTCTTTGGTTGCGTTTCGCTTTGTCTACTACTCTCGCAGCGCCTTCTCTATCCTTCCAAACCTATCACAGTTTCTCTTCGTAGCGTGATCTCTGAGCTCCTCTATTATCCTTTCTCTCCAATGTCTTCGATTACTTTTCTGTCTCCATCTCTTCCACCATCTTTCATCATCTGGTCCTACTCTCCTCATTATCTCCTTGCAGCTGACCACGTGCTCCAGTGACTCCTTCTCTTTCTCACATGCCCGGCATCTGTCATCCTCAAGGCCTTTCTTCCCTCCTCTTATTGCATTTCCACATCTCCATCTTGCCCAAGCCATTTTCTGTTCCATGTTTAATTTTCTATCCGTCCAGTACTCACTCATCTCCGTGTCCTCCGTTATCTCTCCGTAGTGGTCACAGTATTTCGATTTTTCTATTCTCTCCCAATCCTTCTGCTTTTCTTGATCATCCACTATCTCCACTATATCCTTCAGCCTTTTCTCTGCTACTTCCTTCCTCCCCTCCCGCAGATGTTCCAGGAACTCTCCATCTCCTACTTCTCTCAGTCTCTCTATCACCCCTTTCCCCCAACTGGACGGTTGTCCATTCTTAATCCCCCTCAATTCCTCTTTCAAGCATTTTCTTGGCCATCTACTTTCTACCATTCTGCTCAATTTTATTAGAAAAGCCGCTGCCCTTCTCACTGCTTCTACTTCTATGCGGCTTACTCCTGCGTCCATTCTCCATATGTAGTCTGGTGTGTTTTTCGCCAGTCCCATGCTAGTCTTTGTATATTTCTTCANAACTGGACGGTTGTCCATTCTTAATCCCCCTCAATTCCTCTTTCAGGCATTTTCTTGGCCATCTACTTTCTTCCATTCTGCTCAATTTTATTAGAAAAGCCGCTGCCCTTCTGACTGCTTCTACTTCTACACTGCTTACTCCTGCCTCCATTCTCCATATGTAGTCTGGTGTGTTTCTCGCCAGTCCCATGCTAGCCTTTGTATATTTCTTCTTTATCCTTTCTATGTTTTCCTGCCTTCTCCATCCCCACAGTTCTACTCCATATAGCGCCGCTGCCTTCACCGTTACTCCCATGAAATACAGCCTCTCCTCAGTCCTCTTATCTTGCCTCTCCTCATTTCTCCCCAGGTTTTGTTCACCAGCGTCTGAGCTTTCCCTGTCAGTTTCTTGGCATGTCTCGAGTATGTGTTTTTGGTCGTGAACCAGAAGCCTAAATACTTGAATTCATTCACCACCTCCAGTTTCTTGCCTTTGTACTCCCAACTTTCTTTCCTCCTTCTTCCTCCGTTCCTGAACACCATTATCTTTGTTTTTTCCACACTCACCTCCATTTCATTTCCATCTGCCCACTTCTCCAATGTCTTTAACATCCTTTTCAACTCAGTTCCCTCCTCTGCCACAATCGCTGCATCATCTGCATACATCAGGGTGAATATCTTCACCCCCGCCCCTAGTCCGATAGGCGTGCCTCCGTCTCTTCTCTTCTCCATCGCCTCTATCAGATCTTGTATGAAGATATTAAATAGTATTGGGCTCAGTGGGCAACCCTGCCTCACTCCTTTCCCCGTCTGGAACTCCTCTGTCAATCCTGTCCCCGCTATCACCCTGTTTCTGGTGCCCTCATAAATTCTCTGTGCCATCCTCAAGAACTTTTCTACTATCCCTATCTCCTCCATCTTGTTCCAGAGTTTCCTTCTGTCCACCTTGTCGAATGCCGCTTTGAAGTCAATAAACGCTACATATAATTTCCCTCCTTTCTTCTTGAGTCTGTTCCCGATCAGCGTATTCAGTACAAACACCTGTTCCATTGTTCCTCTCCTTCTCCTGAATCCTGCCTGTGCCTCTGATAGTTTTTCCTCTTCCTCTAGCCACTTACTCAGTCTGCGTACCATTATCGACGAGAGGATTTTATATCCTATGTCTAGCAATGACACTCCTCTATAATTCACTGCCGTGTTGATGTTCTNTTCCAGTGTCCTCCTGATTCCCATTAGGAAGCCTCCACTCGCCTTCCCTCATCTGTGTATCCTTATCGCCTCTTTGCCAAACTACTCGAATTGTTTATTCAGTCTGTCCATCATTTTTGGCATTCCTTTTGTCTCTAAGTGTGTTTCCTGAAACATCACCACATCCATTTCTTTCCACTGTTCCTCGTCTTTCCCTATATTTATAGCATTTTCTACATTCCAGTGCCACATCNAGGTAAATTCTTCCAGAATTCTGCTGTGATCCCATCTTCTCCAGCTGCCTTCCCAGTCTTGAGTCCATTAATAACTCCCAATATCTCCCAGTCTGTCAAGTCCTCATTCAGCTTGAGATTCCTCTCCTCTTCTTCCCTGGCGTCATTCCGTCCATCTTTCTGGGTCTCCNTTTTGCCTCATTTCTCCTTCCACCTCATCCCACTCCAACCAGTTACCATCAGATGCAGTTATATTTACACACAGATGCAGTTATATTTTGTCGNTGTATTGGGAAAATTGTGGCCAATCTCCATCTGTCAATCATTTCCTCTCTCCTCCAGAGCTCCTTTATTATCTCTATGAGTTCTTCCCTTCCCTCTTTAGGTAAATTCTTCCAGAATTCTGCTGTGATCCCATCTTCTCCAGCTGCCTTCCCAGTCTTGAGTCCATTAATAACTCCCAATATCTCCCAGTCTGTCAAGTCCTCATTCAGCTTCAGATCCCTCTCCTCTTCTTCCCTGGCGTCATTCCGTCCATCTTTCTGGGTCTCCCTTTCTTCTCTATCCTGTCCAACTGTCTCTTCCTCAGCCCTCTCCCCCTGCTTTTCCTCTGCTTCCAGCAAGCTCTTAAAGTGGTTCACTCATTCTNTTCTGCTTCTCTTTCCAGCCATGCCTGTACCTCCTTCTGTCTGTCTGTGACATCGTCCGAGATGTACACCCCCCAACCCAACTCTTTCAGCTTCGTTTTCTCCTTCATTACCTCTATTTTGCTGGCTCTCTCTTCCATTCTGACCGTCAGCCCTCCCTCCTCTCTTCTGTCCAACTTCTCCACCCTCGCTCTCACTCCAAGTGTTTCCTATAGCCAGTGCTCTAACTCCTCTTTCCTTGTCCTCGTGATTAATGTTAATCCCTCAATAATCATGTTTTTCCTTCTTAATCTTCTCATCTCGAGCTCCTCTTCCCATTCTTCTTGTGTCAGTTTCCTTGGTGGTGGATTGTTGAATCCTACCTTCTCTTCTTCCGCTCCCCTCTCTTTTAATTCGACTCTATCTCTCTCAAGCCTCCCATTTCTATCGCCCTCTCCCTCCTGATTCCTCTCGACCTCTCTAACTTTCAGTCTCTTGGTCTCATTCCTCCGCTCTCCCATGATTCTGTGCCCTTGCCCTATCTATGCTCTCTGGCCTCCAGGTCCTCCAACCCTCCTGTCGCTTTCGCTCCATGTGCTAGGGTCACCCCTTCTGCCTGAGAGGCTTCCAGACGGGCTCACTGTTCTCACCGTATTTGCTGGACTTATCGAGACATCCCTTCCGTTTTCTGTCACGTCTTTTGTCTTCTTCAATTCTTCTCCTGCTTCTTCTGCTCTGATCTTCCATGTCTCTGCCACCCCTTTCCACTGCCTCACTTTTGACTCTAACTCCTCCACCTAATCTTCACTCACTCTCAGTCGTTCCTGCATGTCTCTGAGCTGATCTGTCAATTGATCCTCTTCCGACTCTCCTCTTCTCTCCTCACAATTTTCACACCGTATTTTCACTTTCCCTACTTCTTTCCTGATCAGGTATTCCAGGTCTGCCATCTTTTCTTCCCATTCCTCTTCCTGTTTTCTCTCCCACTTTTCCATCCACTTCTCCAGCCTCTCAAGCCTAATTTCCTCCCTCCCTGTTGGTATTCCATCCCTGCTCCTGTTCCCCTCCATTTCCTCGTTCTCTTCCTCATGCCTACTCTCACTTCTGCTTATTTATGTTGGGCTAATTGCCTGTGTCCCAATCTCACTCTGTGTTGTGTGCACTGTCCTTACCTCTCCCGCATTTCCTCCAACGGGTGTTCTCGGGAGGGTCCATGTCGGCTGGAGAGCCACTGTTCCTGTTTCCTCCTTCCTCCCCTCATTTCCACTCGTCCCTTTGTCCTCACTTGTCACTTTATCCACATTTGACACTTCACTTGTCACTGCCTCTTCTCCTGTCACACTGTCCACAACCAAGCCCTCCTCAACTTCCTCTCCTTCCTCACTTTCCTGTTCCTCTGACTGGTTGTCATGGGTCTCTTGGCCACTTTCAGGATTCTCTGGGTCATCCGGGTCATCCTCCGGCCTTTCCCAGTGAGAATTCTCCTCATCCCCCGTCTTCTCTCCCAAGAAGTCCTCCAGTCGCCTAACCCCAGAAAGTACCCTATCCTTCCTCTTCTCTTTCTTATCTTTCGGGTCCATTTTCTTTCTACCTCTACTTGCTCTTCCAGGTGTTACCTCTTTTGATTTCTGTGCGTCTCCTCCATTACCGGCTGCGTTTTCCCCTTTCTTGTTCTCCAGGCTTCTTAGGTTGTAACTGCCGCTCCCCTTCCCCTCTTCCACCATGTTATACGCCGCCACGTCCTAACCTCCTCTTTTTCTTGTCGTTACTTTTTATCTTATTTCACCTTGCTCTCGCAGGTATTCTCCTGTTCTTCACCTCCTCCTCGTTCTTCTCCTCTTTAGCTTTCTTTTTTATGTACTTATAGCCTCTTCCTACCTCTTTTCTTACTTTTTTACCTGTAATAGCACGGAGCCATATACCACGCGTCCTACTCGGGTCAACGCCCCCGCGTCTCCTCGTTCATAGCATTTATTTTTTGCATATATTATGATTTTAGTATAATTTTCCGAATCATCAATATTCTAGATAGGTAATATTAAGGATCGTAATTCATACAGAAATGGTATTCATAACAAAAATGCGACAAACCAAGAGATTTTTTGCACCATGAGCACCGAACTATATAGTCCATACTCCCACCGTGCTTTAATCCCGAAAATGAGGGCAACGGGGAAACTATGTTCATTTAGACTAATTCGGGGACGTAGAATACGAATATCGCGGTTATTTTTCTGTGAGAGTTGCCTTTACCAGTGTTATAAACAATTTAATTGTTTAACCGCTAATAACTCTCACGTTATGGGAGCTACGGAAAAAAGTTCGTTCAAAATTTGTTTTTCTTCTCCTGACGAACAAAATGGTTTTGTATTTTTCTCAATAGCGTCTTTTTTGGCAGAGTTATGATAAGAGACGTGCCCTTGACTGGGGAAGTCATGCGAGCGGCTACGCTCGCGCTGCCCGGGCCGACGTTAGCGGTGTTATGTGGTTGTTTGTGGTCGTCGATTGCATACACCTATTGCTGTTATATTTTGATTCTATGATTCTATATTGGAGTCCGAAAACTGTGACAGAATTTTATCCACCGATAAGTGATTTAGTCACCAATTGCACTGATGCAAAATGTAAACGAGGAGATTACCATTGCGCAAGGGCAGAGAAACCTTGCATTGCATTTTGTAAATGTCAAGTCAATGGAACATGTCAGAATCCTTTCAATGAATAAAAAGAAAATTGAAGAGGAACACTTCTTCTTATTGTCAGGAACACTTCCTTCCTATTCAAACTTCTTCCTGTTTATTATGGGCCCAACCATAAAACAACGTGTGAGCGTTACACCCCGTGCGGCGCACGATTCCACGCGGCGCTCCTCAAACGTTTAATTGATCATAAATCCGCTAAAAATGAAGCTATCGAAAAAAATAAAAAAACTTTTTGTTCGCCTTGAGAAGACAAACAAATTTTGTAGAAACTTTTTTCCTGTAGCTCCCGTAACTTGAGAGTTATTAGCGTTTAAACAATTAAATTGTTTATAACAATGGCAATGGGAACTCGCACGGAAAAATAACCGAGATATTCGTGTTCTACGATCCCGAATTAGTCTAAATCAACATAGTTTTCCCGTAGAAGTCATTTTCGGGATAAAACCACGTGGGCGTATGCACTAATAGCGACATTGGAACAGCCCTCAATGTCACAGTGGGGATGAGAAGATTGCCCGAAGGCAAAATCGACGGTGTTCGATGCCGGGTCTGAGATCTGTGGAGTAAGCGAGCGATGTGCGAGATGTAAATGGATTTTTTCAGGAGCGCGAGAAGGTCCAAAAATCACAACACGTGCACGTTGGTCAACACAGTCAATTTAATTATATCAAAGTCAATATTTACACGTGATGGTTTAATTATAATAATCGCGATGATCAAACAAATGCGCGGGTCACAACATTATCGAATAACTCACAGAACTTAATTCGCAGAGCAATTATACGCGGGACAAATAATATATTCGCAGAACAAAAATGTATACAATACTGTGGGCGAGGGTCGAATGAGAGAGATTTATAGATCATGAGGTGGCAGGTGACGAAAATCCAGAGCTGTGAACTTGATCCAATTTAAATGGGGGCGTTCACTGGACACCTGTCCATCAAGTGGCGCCTCAAGTGTCAGAGGTGAGAGGCCACTGGTCATCTGAGGCGAGTACGTCGGTCAACTGTGCGTAGGCCATGCACGCATGCGAGCGAAGTGAGTGTGCGTGAGTGTGTGCGTATGTGTGAGGAGTAAATCATTCGGTAGAAAACCGAACAGACGGGATTCTCAAACTCTTCCGGTTTTCTAACAATATAACCACCTTTAAACCAAGCATAATGAAATAAATTTTGATATCTTGGTGAAGATAACTGATTATAGACAAAAGATTGTAACTTTATTATATTATTCTTTAAATGTAAATTAATATCACGACCAAGGATGATAACGGTATCCGAAAAATGGCGGACATAATTTTTCTATATTTTAAAACCGAACACATCGATGGGTTGAATTTTTCCACTGGTACCCTTCGGTATCGACATAGTTAATAACTCTTTATTTGGAGGTGTTGCTTCTCGTAGCACTTAAGGACAGTGACCACTTTACAAATCTATCAGCAGTAGACTTTTAGGTCCAACGTTGGGGAAAAATACTTCCTTCAATCATGTTTTGAAATGCTCTAAAAATTGAGAACATTTTAATGATCGTGATTAATGCGTAGAGAAGATCAGGTGCTCTTGTGTCTTGAACATTATCGTACCTGAAGTGAGTTTCTCCGATTTTGAGGCAGTGACAACACATTGGATGGTCTGAAAAGATTCTGCTCCACGATAGGGCCAGAAGTTCCAGAAGGTTTTTTTAAAACCAGGAAGAAAGGTGACAGTAATTTGCCATCAGCAGAAATTGTAGATTGTATTGTATAACTATGTGTTGTCGAGGTTACCGATTGTACTAAACATGCCACTTGTTTTGCGCCTTCTTCAGCTAAAGTACGTCCTGAATGAATTTTCAATTGAAAACCACTCTGATCCGAATTATAGATGTTTTCCGATCCATACGTAGCACAATCACGCAGAACTTTTTGAAAAAATTCGACTGATTGTTTTTGTAAAGTTTCTCGACTTTCTAATGTTTTGCGTGTGACGAATTTGTTAATTTTCCGAGATATGATAGGATGTGCTTTCTTGAAATTATGTAGCCACCATGGCGAAGCCGTGAAACGAATGTCTTCAAATCCTATATCTTTCCGAGCTTGCAGAGCCCACCTGCGTAGGTCGGTGTGACAATCAATCCCGTATCAATTACGTTTTTCATATTATTCAATGTATATTCCGAAATATGCTTCAACTTCTCCATATATGTCCCTCCTTTGTTGATTTGGCGTGCCCAATGACGTAACTGTCCACTGGATTTCACCTTTTTGAATCGATTTGAAACTGTTTTCAAGGAAAGATTTTGTTTCGTCTTTGCACTTCTCCAGAATTCTACTGCTCTCCGCTTATAGTCAAAATCTACAGGTTCCTCATCGTCCGAACAACTTTCAGATGATTCTTTATTATGTGGTTGAAATTCTTTATATTCAACCGCTATCATTTCTATATCTTTATAAGACTCTGGAAAATCCAGGGATGTTTCGTCAATCATTTCCATACTATTGTATTCCTCCATAGATCGAAGTAAAATCGTTTGGAAAGTATCCACTAATTCACGTTCCGCATTGTTCACGGGCGTTTCAGCAAGATTAAAAACTTCATATGTTGCCATGAGAAGTCTGATGACGTTGATTGGATTAATTTTCATTATAAAAAGATCACGTAACACTACATTCACTGATAGACAGTTTTTCTCGACAGATTTTGGTAGACTGATCGTGAATTGCATGAAAGATGAAAGCCAAAAATACATATATATCCCTATGATTTTATTTTTAAACAACAGGAGTCACATTCGAATCGATATTTTTATTCTACCGCATACGATCCCGTTGGGGTTCTGCATATAAACATATAAACATCAATGTAGTAAGACCACCTCAATTGCATGTTATTTTTAATTTCTTATATTCTACACAATTTTCGACTTTTCCATGACCACTGGCCAAATTTATCCATTCCTAGTACTACACCCTCGCTCTGTCTCATCAGAACGTTTAAGAACACGTATTTCTCGAAAATGCAGACCATGGATTTTTCTTTTGCCTCCATATTCAGATTCCAGAAACAAAAAAATTAACGAAGAAGATACTGCGTATTTTTCTCATCCTGTCGCGAATAGTGATTTTATAAAATTTTAGATTATATTTTTTCTCCGTTTGAAAAATGATTTTCTAGGAGGGTAGTGGGCCTCCACATTCAACACCCCTGGGGATGAATTTCATTGTTAATCTCATCAGTTCTTATGAACTTTGTATTACAGTACGAAAAATTTCAAAATTGAAAAACTACAAAAAATAAATTTTTTCGCCGTTAAATGGCAATTTGTAACAGAAATGCAAAAAAAGGTATTCCGTCTTTTTGAATGCTCTTTCAAATGAAATTAGTCCCATGATATTCCGAGCAATAGTTTTCTTTTTTAATTGGGAAAATCATATTTCGCGAGGGTAGTTCACCCACTAAATTTCAACCCCTGGGGATGATTTTAATTCACATATTCATCATAAGCTTCCTCTTACATGGCAAAATATTTGTCTGAGTACTCTCTTTATATATGCAAACGACAAAATACCCCGAGAAGTAGCGAACTTTAGAGGACAGTTTTACCCCCAAAATCCACGTATTAGCCGATAAGAAAAAATACGTCTCCCTCAGTTTTGACTCTTCTATAACATATATAAATTTCATCAAAATCGGAGGCGGACACCTACCTAGGGTTGCTTGTCAGTAGGTTTGAACCTGGCAGAGCATAAGACGGAAGCCGTGCTGATCACTAGCAGGAAGAAAGTCGAGACAATCACGCTGCAAGTTGGGTCTTGTGAAATTACTTCCCAGCCATTCATCCGATACCTGGGGGTATAATGGGTGTAACTGGCAACGGAGGAGAGGCGAAACAGCTTGAGCCGATGGCAGCCGAATGGGCCGAAACGACCAAGGGGAGATGGACCCATCGTCTGATCCCACATGTAGCTGTTTGGGTCAGTCGAACTCATGGAGAAGTCAATTACCATCTGTGCCAAATGCTTTCAGGGCACGGGTGCTTTAGGGAATATCTGTATAAATTTAAATATGAAGATTCTTCGGAGTGTCCCGCCTGCACAGGAGCGAACGAGAACGCGGAGCACGGTTTCTTCAGATGCCCCCGTTTCAGTGACATCCAGAATACTTGGGAGAATGAGCTCGGAAGGAAGGTCTCACCCGAGAATGTGGTAGAAGCAATGCTGTCATCGCAGGTAGCTGAGATGCAACGAGCGATTTCGCGGCCAAGGTCATGAAGGAGCTCACAAATGAGGAACGTAAGCGCAAAGCCGCAGTATAAGTGAGAAATCTTTTTGGAACCTCCTAATCTCACACAACATCTTTGCAGGATAGGAGGATGTACATGAGATGGAAAATGAGGAAGAGCAAATAGCTGAAACCCCGCGAAGTAATACTTAGCGGTGGTGCCGCGAGGGAAACGGGAACGGAAAATTAGAGGTAAAAGCTCTAAGCTTATAAAGAGCAAGGAGAGGAAAAAAGGCAGAGTGCACAGCCCGAGCAGCTGAGTCCCAAAAGGAAGAAGAAGGAGCACCAGGTGATGATTTCCAAGAAAGCAGCGCCGAGATCTGATGCGCTGATTATCCGGCCGAAAGACAAGGAGAAATACAAGGAGATTCTATGCCGAGTAAACAAAATGTTCCTTCAGAAAAAGCTCACGATTGCGTCGACAATCGTCAATCGACAATCAAATATCCCCACTGCGACTCCCCAGTGGCAAAAAAAATTTTAAGAGAATTAGAATTTAGAGAGCAAAAATTTCCGCTCCACCCAGCCGGGAATCAAACCCGGGTCTCCCACATACGCCACGGGCACTCTTACCGACTAAGCTACCGGGAACCACAGAAATTCACTCTCAAATTCACCTCAAACACCGCCTAACCTCCTTTAGGCATTAAAGAATTCTAAGAGAATTAGAATTTAGAGAGAAAAAATTTCCGCTTCACCCAGCCGGGAATCGAACCCGGATCTCCCAGATACGCGCCGGGCACTCTTACCGACTAAGCTACCGGGAACCACAGAAATTCACTCTCAAATTCACCTCAAACACCGCCTAACCTCCTTTAGGCGACTGGGGAGTCGCAGTGGGGATATGATGATCATCTTGAGCAAGAAGACGACTGACGGAGCCCCTGAACTGCGTACAGCCATCGCCAATCTCCTTGGTGATGAGGCTCAGATGCTCAGAACGGGACCACAAGAAGAACTCGAAATAAAGGATCCCGACGAAATGACGACAAAGGAGACACTTGCACCATCGATGGTAAAAAACGTATTGGGCGAACACGGCAAGATCAGGATTGGCTGGCTCAACTGCCGGATCAGAACTGTGAAGAGACCAACCAAGTACTTCAAGTGCTGGCACTATGGACATCTCGCTACTAAGTGCAAGAGCGAAGTGGACCAGTCCAGTCTCTGTACTAAGTGTGGAGAGGATAGCCATAAAGTTGCTGCCTGCAAAAAGGAGACTCGATGCGCCTTGTACGTCAAGAAAGGCCAGATGAAGGACTGTGCCCACATCGCTGGTAGCAGCAGATGCCCCGCCTTCAAAAAGGCACTCCGGCAGGTGAGAAATAAACGAGCATGCAGATACTCCAGCTCAACCTCAACCATTGTAAGGCTGCGCACGATTTGGTTATTCAGACCGTGCGCGAGCTGAAGCCAGATCTTGCACTGATCTCAGAGCCATATAGACACCTTGTCACTCAACCCTGGGAAATGGATGCCACCGCTAAGGCCGCTATTTGGTCTTGCGGAAAGCATCCGTTCTAGAGCATTCCGAATGGTAAAGAAGCTGGTTTTGCAGTAGCCAAGCCGGCTGGAATTTATTTCTACAGCTGCTATGCTCCACCCAGCCTCTCACTCGATGAATTCACAGACTTTCTGGACAGACTGACCGAGGATGCGAAGCAGCACTTTCCCGTGGTAATCGCTGGAGACCTCAGTTCCTGGGCAGTTGACTGGGGTAGTAAGGAGACCAAAACAAGAGGGCAGGCAATACTGGAGGCCACGTCTGTATTGGATGTTGTCTTGCTAAACAGTGGTGATGAACCCACATTCACAAGGGGAGAGGCGAGCTCCATTGTGGACCTCACCTTCGTGAGTACCAACCTCGTCAGAGGAAACTGCTCCTGAGAGGTGACGGATATCTACACCGCCAGTGACCATCGCGTGATACTCTGGGAGGTATCTACTGGCCGGAGAATTGGACCAACGCCCAGAAAGACCAACTCAATTGGCTGGAAATTGAGGACGTTTGATCCCAGCTCAAACTCAGTAGCACTAGACGATCGCCCGATCAGCGGCAGAAATGCCACGGAGAAGGTAGACGAGGTCATGAAGAGGGTTACTGAAGCCTGTGATGCCACCATGCCACGGAAGTCCAATGGGAACCAGAGGCCACTGTACTGGTGGAATGACGCAATCGCTGCTCACCGCAAGGAATGTAATCCAGTGAGGAGGGCCTCAGCGTGGAAGGAAGACGCCAATTTTTACATCCTTGGAGGCGAAGTACAAAGCAGCTCGGCGGAAGCTTACGAATGCCATTAAGCTTAGCAAGAGGAATTGTTGAAACGAACTCCTGGAGGACATTGAAGGCAACCCTTGGGGTAGGCCATATAAGGTAGTTATGACGCGACTTAAGAGCCAGCTGATGCCATCACCGTCATGCCCTAAGCTCCTGGAGAAGATCGTCACGGCATTGTTCCCCCAACAACCGGAACTGTGCCATCACCTCACCGAAGGTTACGAAGTGGAGGCGATCTCATCAGTCACGGCGGAACAACTGATGGAAGCCTGCGACAGAGTGGGCAACAGCAAAGCCCCTAGCCTTGATGAAGTCCCCAATGTCGCTTTGAAGGCAGCCATTAAAACGTCTCCAGAATTGTTTCTTGATGCGTACAATGCGTGCTTCCGGGAAGGCATCTTCCCTACCAAATGGAAGCAGCAGAGGCTTGTGCTTCTCCCCAAGGGAAAGAAGCCACCGGACGAACCCTCGTCATATCGTCTGCTCTGCATGATAGACATGGCAGGAAAAATCTTGGAGCGCACCATGCACCAAAGGATAGAAGAAGTAGTAGAGCCACTACTGGCTGATAACCAATATGGCGTCCGGCGAGGTCGCTCCACTCTAGACGTCATTAAACTTGTAGTCAACACAATCAAGGAGGCGATTTCAGGCACACGGTAGAAAGGAGATACGAAGAAGTACTCTCTAGTGGCGACACTGGACATAAAGAACGCCTTCAACTCAGCTAAGTGGGATTGCATTATGGAGGCATTGTCGAGGATGACAGGACCAGGATACTTGCGGAGGATGTTAACTAGCTACTTCACCGACAGAATCCTCAAGTACGACACGGAGATCGGTCCTAAAAAGCACAGTCACTGGAGGGGTTCCTCAGGGTTCGGTGTTGGGACCCCCATTGTGGAATATCATGTACGATGGGTTGCTGAAACTAGCACTGCCAGGAGGGGCGAGACTCGTGGCATTTGCAGAGAACATAGCTGTAGTCATTGTGGCGAAACATTTGGAGGAGATCAACTTCATATACGACATGACCTACGAGAAGATCCGTCGATGGATGGATACAGTTCGCCTGAAGCTGGCAGAATACAAGACGGAGACCGTACTCATCAACAGCAGAAATCAGGTAGAGACGATCACCCTGCTAGTCGGGGATCATGAAGTCACGTCCCAACCGTACTTGCGGTACCTGGGGGTGATGATGGATAACCAACTCAATTTTAAGCAACAAGCAGAGCACATAGGAATCAAGGCATCTGGAGTCAGAATCATCCTATCCCGGCTCATGCCCAACGTAGGAGGCCCAAAGCAGAGAAGAATAGTGCTACTGTCATCAGTGGTCACGTCAGTCCTCACATATGGCATTGCTATCTGGGCTGACGCACAACAGAGGCAGGAATCACGGCGGAAAGTGGCACCCGTCTACCGGCTGAGTGCCCTTAGAGTTACCAGCGCGTATCGCACAGTGTCTGAGGATGCGGTGTGTATAATCGCCGGGAGGCTGCCCATTGAAGTGTTAACCGAAGAACGAAGATCCCTTTACCGGCGGAATGGATCACTGAGCTCAGAAGATTTGAAAACGGAGGAGAGACGTAACAGCATTCATCAATGGCAGTTGCTGTGAGACGCCTCAACCAAAGGATGTTGGACTCATCGCCTAATTCCACAGGTGGACGCTTGGGTAGATAGAAACCATGGACAGGTCAACTACTACCTGACATAGATGTTTACAGGACATGGGTGCTTCCGGGAATATCTCGATAGATTCAAACATGAGGATTCCCCGGAGTGCCCGACCTGCATAGGAGTGGATGAGGATGCGGAGCACGTGTTTTCACATGCCTACGCTTCAGGGAGATCCGGAGTACCTGGGAGTTTACACTGGGAAGGCGGGTGTTGCCTGAGAATTTAATGAATGCTTTGCTGTCATCACAGGCGGCCTGGGACGCAACGAGTAGTTTCGCGGCCAGCGTCATGAAGGAGCTTAGAAAGGAGGAACGTAAGCGCAGAGCTACAGAATAGCTGAGGAATTCATTAGAACCTACTACCCACACACAACATCTCAGTGGGGCAAGGAGACGTACATTGAATGAAGTCATGGTGGAAGAGCAAACAGCTTAGACCTCCCTCGCAAAGTAATACTTAACGGTGGTACCGCAAGGGAAAGTAGGGTCGACGAATTCCCGGGGTCAAGTGGTTTCGTGGATGAGGGCTCCACACAGGGTGTGGCAGTAACCGCCATGTTATTGTCCACTATCGTGCGGTTAGGTACATTTACCCCAAGACCTCGGAAGGGAAAAAAACACACACACACACACACATGCAGCGTCGGGATGTGGCGCACCCATCGCTCAGGAGTCAAAACCTGCAATCAGCCTCCCCAATGTCAAGGTGTTCATCATACCGAGTTCTGGAAGGTGCCAGGGATAGTTGGCATCGCGAACGGTGGTCTCTGGGGTACCAGGTCCCACCTCAGGTGTTTTCAGTGGTCTTACTCCAATAACCGGGTCTCTGTTCAGAGTGGACGGTTATAATTCCCTAGGTACTCGTGGGAACATGATGGATAATGTACTAAACACACAAAATAAAGACAAGAAGCAGAACGACGTGGTTCAAAAACCTGTACCAAGTGACGAGGTCACGTTGAGGAAGAAAATGTGGGGTAGGCATAAACAACTCATTGCCGACCTGATCACCTACGTGAAGGAGAAGAGAAGAATCAACGCTCATGCTCGAGAGATGGTAAACTCTATCAGCACCTCTGCAAAACGACTGAGGCAGCTGGACGGTTCAATCAGGGCAGACTAGGCCATTGCCGGCGACGCCGAAATCCCTACTCTTGGGGCGAACGCAGACACTTTCCGAAGGTACCGTGACGACGATAGACTCGGCACTTGAAGATGAGAGCTCTACTCTCTCTGATAAGTTCAACACTTCCAGGACGAAACGAAAGTCGCGAGAGTCACCACCGACGGACACCACGGACCCCAAGAAGAAAAATGAAGAGCGGTAGGCCAATTACGCTCAGAGCAAGAGAGAGAATCCACTTGCAAACACCTCAGAATGGGAGCAAGTAAAGAGTAAAAGGGAGAAACACAAAGTGAAGCTGTCAAAGAGGCCGCCCAAGAAGAACGAGAAGAAGAAGAAACAAGGAAATTCAGCGGCGAGACCAAACGCACTGATTGTTTGCCCGAAGGACAAGCAGCAGTACTCGGAGATGCTCAAAGCAGTTAAACAGCAGATACCTTCCGAGCAGGTTCATGATTGCGTTGACAAGATCCGCAGAACGACTACTGGAGATATGCTGATCATCCTTGTAAAAGACAAGGCGGACAAAGCTGTGAGCTTACACAAAGCGATAGTCGAGCTCGAAGGAGATGATGCCGATGTACTTAGTAAAGGACCACAAGAAGATCTCGAGATCAAGAATCTGGATGAGCTGACCACGAACGAGGAGGTGCTCGAGGCCCTGCAACTCGCAGCTGGGGTGGATTGCCAAATCTCTCTGGACGCCGTCAGGTCCTTGCGCAAGGCCTATGGAGGTATCCAGGCTGCGTCGGTGACAGTGCCTGCAGCAGTCGCCAAGAAAGTTTTGGGCGAGCGAGGTAAGATTCGCATTGGATAGGTCAAATGCCGAATCCGAAGGGTGGAGAGACTCGTTAAGTGTTTTAAGTGCTGGCACTCTGAACATCTCGCCATTAAGTGCAAGAGTGAAGTTTACCGAGCAAAGCTCTTTGCAAAGTGCGGAGAAGCTGGCCACAAAGCTGCTGCCTGTGAGAAGGAAGCTTACTGTGTCTTGTGTGTCGAGAAAGACCGGACGAAGAACTGTGCCCATATTGCGGGTAGCAGCAGATCCCCTGTTTTTAGAGAAGCACTCCAGAAGATGAACAACAAACGGTAATGCGGGTACTACAGCTCAACCTCAACCACTGCGAGGCCGCACACGATTTGCTTAGGCAGAAGGTGCGGGAGCTGAAGATCGATCTGGTGATCATTTCGGAGCCATACAGACAACTGGGTACGCAAGTCTGGGAGACGGATAAGAGTCGCAAGGCCACCGCCGTCTGGTCTTCTAGCAAGTTTCAGTTCCAGAGTGTTGCGAATACTGAAGAGGCTGGCTTCGTGGTAGCTAAGCTGGAGGGAATCCATTTCTACAGCTGTTGCGCTCCACCAAGGCTCACGTTTGACGAGTTTACGGATTTCCTCTACAGACTGACTGAAGACGCGAAGCAGCACTTCCCCGTGGCAATCGCTGGGGATTTCAATGCTTGGGCAGTCGATTGGGGTAGGAGAGAGACCAAAGCAAGTGGTCAAATACTATTGGAGGCCATGTCGTCACTGGACGTTGTCCTAATAAACAATGGTGCTAAACCTACGATTGTGAGAGGAGAGAAAAGCTCAATCGTAGACCTCACCTTTATGAGCAGTAATCTCGCAAGTGGAAACTGCTCCTGCGAGGTGATGGACATCTACACCGCCAGTGATCATCAAGCAATTTTTTGGGAAGTATCCTCTGGTCGAAGGATCAGATCAACACCTAAGAAGACCAACGAAATCAACTGGAAGGTGAGCAACTTCGATCCTAGTTCATTCTTAGTGGCACTAGATGATCACCCGATAAGTGGCAGTAGTACTACGGAGACAGCCGAGTTTCTTATGAGAAGAGTCACCGAGGCCTGTGATGCCTCTATGTGTCGTAAACGCAGTGGAAGCCGTCTGCCATCGGTGCACTGGTGGAACGGTAAGATCGCCGCTCTTCGAGAGAAGTGCGTCAAGGCTAGAAGATCATCGCAGCGGAGACGGAAAAAACCAAACTCCGGAGAACTGGAAATGAAATATAAGAATGCACGTCGAAAGCTCAACGAAGCGATTAAGGACAGTAAGAAGCAATGCTGGACTGGACTCCTTCACGAAGTCGAGGGTGATCCATGGGGCCGGCCATACAAGGCGGTCATGGCGCGGCTGAAAATCCGGCCCATGCCATCGCCGACATGCCCCGAGCTCCTGGAGAAGATTGCGATGGTATTGTTCCCTCAAAAACCGCAACACCGCCAGCTCACGGAGCAACGCGTGGAAACATCGATCCCATCAATTATAGAGGAAGAACTGAAGGAAGCTTGCGGCAGAGTAGGGAACACCAAAGTTCCTGGCCTTGATGGAATCCCCAACATTGCGCTAAAAGCAGTAATCAATGCAGTACCAGGATTGTTCCTGGACGTATACACTGCATATCTAGAGGAAGGCATTTTCCCCGCCAAGTGGAAGCAGCAGAAGCTAGTGCTCCTTCCCAAGGGAAAGAAGCCACCGGACGAACCATCATCATATCGCCCACTCTGTATGCTAGATACAGCTGGGAAAATCCTCCAGCGTATCATCCACAGAAGGATCGAAGCAGTAGTAGAACCGCAGCTAGCCGATAACCAATACGGCTTCCGGAGAGGTCGCTCTACCCTCGATTCCATTGACTTCGTCGTCAGCACCGCCAAGGAGGCGATCTCTGGGAAAAGATGGAGAGAAGGTACGAAGAAGTACTGTCTAGTGGCGACACTGGACATTAATAATGCCTTCAGCTCAGTCAAGTGGGACTGCATCATGAAGGCTCTCGAGAGGATAATTGTTCCAGGATATCTGCGAAGGATGGTGCCTAGCTACTTCACCGACAGAGTTCTCAAGTACGACAGAGAGAGCGGTCCTAAAGAGTACCAAGCCGCCGTAGGGATACCTCAGGGCTCGGTACTGGGCCCTCTCTTGTAGCATTGCCAACGGATGCGAAACGCGTGGCATTTGTGGATGACGTGGCGGTGGTGATTGTGGCGAAGCATCTGGAGGAAATCCACTCCATCTTCGACATGACATTTAGAAGGATGCGTCAGTGGATGGACTTAGTTGGTATGCAACTCGCGGAGCATAAAACAGAAGCAGTGTTCATTACAAGTAGAAAGAAATTGGAGACAATTACGCTACAACTCGGTGACTACGAGCTCATATCATAGAGTTTATTCCATATCTGGGAGTGATGACCGATGCCCGACTGAATTTCAAACAGCAGGCAGAGCATGTAAGCGCTAAAGCATCTGGAGTCAGAGTCGTCCTGTCACGCCTCATGCTCAACATAGGAGGGCCTAAGCAGAGAAGCTGAGCTCTGCTGTCATCGGTGGTGATGTCAGTGCTCACATACGGAATTGTCATCTGGGCCGACGCGCTGCTCTCGCAGAAAGCAAGGCGAAAGTCAGCCCCAGTGTATCGTCTGGATCCCCTGAGAGTAGCAAGTGCATACCGTTCTGTGTCTAACGATGCAGTGTGTGTCATTGCTGGAATGATGCCAGTCCACATATTGGCAGAGGAACGAAGATCTTTGTACCGGCAGAAAGGAACACTTCAACTGAGCCCCAGTGAGCTCAGCGTTGAAGAGAGATTTAACAGTTTGCAGCGATTGCAGTCACATTCGGACGTGCCGCTGAAAGGGAGATGGACCCATCGCTTGATCGCCCAGGTAGGTGTTTGGCTAAACCGTGAACATGGCGAAGTCAACTTCTACCTGACCCAGATGCTTTGAGGACATGGCTTCTTCCGGACGTATTTTCACAAATACAAACATGAGGATTCCCCGAGTTGCTCGTCGTGCACAGGTGTTGAAGAAGACGCGGAGCATGTATTTTTTGTATGTTCGCTTTTTAGCGAGAGCCGCTCCGAGTGGGAGTCTGCCCTTGGAGGAGCGATTCAGCCGGAGAACTTGATGGAGGCAATGCTGTCATCACAGGAAGCCTAGGACGCAACGAGCGACTTCGCGACGAATGTCATGAAGGAGATTCGCGAGGAAGAGCGCCGTCGGAAAATGCTGCATAGGAGAGGAAGCTAACGGAACCTCCGACTCATCCCAATATCTAAGTGAGGAAGGAGGACATACGGCACAGCGTTAAAAAGAGGAAGAGTCATAGCTAGAATATCTCCCCCAAGCAGTAATGCCTACCGGCGGTCCCTTGGGGAACTGGAAATAGATGAAAAGAGGGAAAGGGGTTTTTACTGGGCAAGAATCCCAGATCTAGTTTTTACTATCACTTTACCAGAATCTTTTGAAGATTTTCCGAAACCTCTATAAAAAAAACACACACACATAGACATACAAACATGTCTTCAAAAATGTCTGCAAATGATTCCAAACGTCATGAAACGTGGACAAATCATCGAAATTCTACATTTGATTTTCGGGGTCATTACAATAATTTCCTCCTTTGGTCGAGAAGTTAAAAAAACAAAATATGATATTGACTGGAATTACAGTCCATAAATGAAGAAGGAAAATCAACTAAAATTTACCAAGAAACCAAAATAATATCATTATTTTATATATCAGTCCAAAACCAGCCGGTATTCAGCTTTTATATAAAGCAAAAAAAATAATGCATCTGTTAGTAGTGTCACTGTCCTCTCGAAATTAGCTGAGAACCCCGACTCACTAATGCTACCAATACTTTTCCGGAATGAAAATCACCTGTCCGAAGATCAGGTGCGGGCTTTACAATGCCTCTTACACGCGACCGAACTCCCGATCTTCCACCGTCCAGAGCACTTCCGGAGAACACTGAATCGCTTAGGAAAATATTAACAATAAAATATCTTAATAAAGAATAGGATATGCTCCTTTTTTCTCCGCTACGCCTGACGTAACTTCCAGAGGCACGCCTCGCCACAACCAATCAGCGGAGATCTTTATTCTGGCGTATTTCAGTGGCGCCGCCAAGAGACCTTGGCATTGATTTTAGTATGTAATCCTCACCAATGAAATGTTGTATGACTGGCGCCAACGTGAAAGGGTCCGAAAGGTGGTGCCCTCAGCCGTTCTTCTTCGGGGTAATTTCAGCTCCTTATCATGAAGTATATCCGGGTTGCTCCCCCCTCCCACTGTATATTCCCAACTTCAAGTGCAGGGATGTCCAGACGATGCTGCTCCGTAGGCGTTGACGGTGGGCACTACTCTCACGTGTTATCGACTGATGTGATGGTAGTTTGTTGCGATGGTGTGTTTGGGGCTGAGTTGTTGTCCAGCCCTTCCCAGAGGCTGAGAGGATCTTCCTGTGTGCTGTTGTTTTCCAGGGGTAGGCTCCAGTCCCTCAGTGGTCGTAGTTTGTGAACCAGGTATTCCGGGTGCTAAGATATCCTCCTACGCAAACCTAACCTCCACCTGTCACTTGTGTATCCCGAATTAGACTACTTATTTACCCAGGTAATTATTCCGATTAAAAATCCCCCCCCCCCAACACGACCAATTGAGAAGAATGAACGACACACGTCGTCGTAATGTTAAGGCGTTGCTTTGACTTAAATAAGCTAATTTTTTATTACATTGAGTAAGTTTCTCGAATCACCTATGTAAGCTTAGGAGTCCCATTGTCAGTCGAGTCAAATGGTCAAATGGTCCGAGTCAAATTGTCGGTCTTCCATCATAGGGTCGCCCCTATTCCGTGTGCGACGATATATCGCACTCAGAGAGAAAAAAGTAACCAATTCATTTCATACTAGTAATTGCCTGATTACCAAAGCAAAGTAACCTTTGGAGCTAATCATAAAAGCAAAATCATCAAGCGGAGAAAAGGAAAGAATTGCAAATGATTACGAGGGTCAAGTGAGAGAGCAAACAAAACGCTTATAAAAGGTAAATACATGAATGAAATAAAAAAATCGTAAGAAATACATCGTAACTTCACAAAAGTGAAATTTAAACTTTCCGAAAGTCAAACAACAACAAAATCCTTCAATCGTTGTGTAGCACTTCTCTATTTGATTCTCATGGTCATTTCGTCTCCCTCATTTGGCTTCTAGAATTAAGACTTTTTTTATTTTTTCCCACCAGTCTTCCGTTTGACGGCCATGATAGTTTGGCTCTTTCGTTCAACTTTCAAGATCGTTTCTCAACGACAATCAGGTTTCGGTGATTTCAAGATTGTCAATCATATTCGTCAATTTGTAATTAGGTGATGATCCAATCGGTAATATATTTCCGTCGATATCCTGTTACATCATCCTGTATTGCATATACGAAAATAGACAGGATAATTTTCTAGTAGAAAAGATTGGTCTTCGGCGAATAGAAATTAGGAGAGAAGGAAATTGAAATATTATTGGTCCTATAGACCTCAACCATCCTAGCTAAGGCATACAAAGCTTGTTTTCTTCCATCGGAGGAAATTCCCAAAAGAGAATCAACATATTAGAGCACATGCCATTCAATGGAACTTATTCGCAACATAGTCACCAATATTACTTTGTATTTAATGTATGTACACACTCTATAATCTCTCGCATGCATCCAGCAATGTACATTAGTTTTGAATAATGTTGAACTGACGGGCATCGATAATTATGTAATTGAGTCGACATTCAATAGATAATTCAATTTACCCTTCTCATGATATCCTTTTGCGTAATATGTTCAATTAATTTTATTCATTTCATTGCAGTGGTCTACTTGTGACGATTTTGTTCTACCGTTCTACAGGGCATGTGAATTCAGATAACAATCACTTCTTAAGAACCAGCTCAAGGAAATTCATGATTATGATCATCTACAGATTTATCAGGTGAATAATACAACATCGTATGTTAACAGATGATATTAAAAATATAGAACATGAATTATCGAATCTGTTCCAATGTAAATTTTCTTAAACGACATCATCAGATTAACACCAGCCTATCTGTTCGTCTTGGGGATGAACGAGATAGCAATGAAGTACACTCAAGCCCGAACAGTTTTTTCTCCAGCCATCATCGATCATGTGACATGTGAAAAATTCTGGTGGAGGAATGCTCTTTACATTAACTCGCTTTATCCAAGAACGGAGATGGTAAGTTTTACCTCAACATTGATTTTAAACCTTTCGTTATTGTGCAATGATTTTAGTGATGTCCCGGCGTCGGAATGCTCTGATCAATTGATTTGAATAAATAATTCACTCCGCCGACTGGTGTCGAATTACTGAGTGACATCCGCGCACTGCCATTTCGCAAATTTAACTTGATTTGCACTTCTTTTCCCATCATCTTCGACATTTACGTGTTGTTGCCACGGGGTATTCTCAATCGGGGTTGAGGCATTAGCCAATGAACCACATACAGTTACTTCTACGACGAAGCTTTCATAGGGTTCCTTTAATGAGCTACCGAATTGATACGAAACGCACATCCCGTTATACTAGCGCAGCGACTAAGTGAATTGGCCGACACGCTCGATGACCCGGCCTCAAAACTCGGGTGGGTAGAATGGTGAGATCGGACCATTTCAAGTGTTAATCAGATTTCGCAATAAAATTATGATGAAAAAAACGAGGAATTAGACATGTTAGGAGCAATTTGATGCTCGAACGTAGACTTATCACAAGGAATGACAATAATTGCACAGCACATGTTCAGAATATTAGATGTGAAATCTCAGTCCTAATGGGGAAATTTAACCCTCGAACAAATCATCAGATCAATAAAAAAAAGATATCTCCCTAAACCGGCAAAAATGTCCCATAATTATCTCGACTGCTACCTATCGAGCTTGAATTATTTCCATTCGCAATTATCCAACATACCACCCAAATCTCGAAATAACCCGCATTTCAACAAATAGTCCACTCAACGGGGCAGAAAAATTGAGATAACTATTAAAAGTTTTGCAAATTGTATGTTAACCTCATCGCAGTGCTTAAATAATATGACTCTTTCCTTTTTCCTTTATCGCTAGGGGAAGTATGCATATATAAGTCACAAAAAAATGTTGGGTACAAAAATTGTAGGGTTTCGAGGGGGCCATTCGATGCATCTATTACTTTGAGCTTTCAAGCTCATACTTGCAAGCTGCAAGCACAAAGTATGTGTTTTTAATGGCAACCGCATTTTTCACCCCAATAAAACTTATTCATCTTGATGAGTTGTTTTCAGTTACTTGGTCATTCATATAATTTTCTCTAATTATACACGAAAAATGCCACAAAAACGAGTTCTGTGGTCAAACTGAAGATTCATACATTCCCTAGTGGAAAAACCTAAGGCAGAGGCGTAACATGCCTGATCAGAATTTCGGATCGTACTTGATCAGTTTCTGATCGAGACCTGAATAGAATTTCCACTCGGGTATGAGTCAATTTGAGAGTGAAATTCGTAAGTGTACTGGTAGCTCAGATGGTAAGAGCACCCGACGCGACATTGGGAGGTCCCGGGTTCGATTCCCGGCTAGGAAGTTACTAAATTTTTCTCTCAGAAAATTAAATTCAATTAATGTCTAATGATGGAAGGGGGAGAAACCCTAGTGGAAAAAACTCAGGCAGAGGCGTAACATGCCTGATCAGAATTTCGGATCGGACTTGATCAGTTTCTGATCGAGACCTGCATAGAATTTCCACTCGGGTATGAGTCAATTTGAGAGTGAAATTCGTAAGTGTCCTGGTAGCTCAGATGGTAAGAGCACCCGACGCGACATTGGGAGGTCCCGGGTTCGATTCCCGGCTAGGAAGTTACTAAATTTTTCTCTCAGAAAATTAAATTCAATTAATGTCTAATGATGGAAGGGGG